AGTGTGAGACATTGTTAAGACACATATACATCCAAATAGTACTATTGTAATATTAAAAAAGTCTTAAACTTAAATAGAATAGTCTAAAGAAGTTAATATGAGGAATAAAATAAGATGACAGAGAGAGAAAAACAATGAAGAACAAAGCACCGAGTTAATATTAACCTTTACTTGAAATTGACCATAGAGCAGAAACAGTAAAATTAACAAAAGACAGACATATGTTACAACAATGGAGAAGAAAACGTACACGTTACAAGAAAGTAGAGTAGAGTTGTGAGCAGGGCCGGATTGAAGAGTGGGCAAAGTGGGCAGTTGGCCAGGGGCCTCCACATATTATAATATTGTATTGATTTGGTTGATTTTATTTTCAATCTTTAAAATTCATGTTTATCACGTGATAGAAATTAGGCTAGCTACTCGTTGAAATTGACGACTGGGTGGTTTTCCTATGAACCGTCTATTTTGAATGAATGCTGTGGTGGTAATAATATGATATTTAGAATTGCGGAACTCCCAGATGATTAGGTTCGCTTCACTCGCCACCCCACCCTCTTGGGGTAGTTATAATGAGGGGGGCCTCCACAGGTCTAATAAATCTGGCACTGGTGGTAAGTGGTATTAAGAACCTGGCAGGCCTCTCCATACAGTGTACCTTTAGACTAACATAACTAATATTTAACAATTAACATTGAACTAACATCTTAGCCCCCCAAAAAATGTGACTACCCTCCCAGCTACACAAGGACCTGGGCTGGCTCACTAACTCCAACAATAATAAAAATAATAATAATAAGCAGCATTATATAAATAGAGCAATATTAATACAAAGGTCTGACGACCCAAGGGAGCAGAACAAAGATAAAACACCAATAAGAAAGATTCTTTCTACTCCTACTGTATTTCAGTTTCACCACTTTTCCCTCAACCCCTAATAATTGTCTTTCACCTCTTAACTAAAGATTTCGTACTCGTACTCGTGCTGTTTGTCCTCTGCGGATGACTATAATATACTCGTCAGTTACATGGAGCAGTTTCTAGTTGACATAGCAATGGTTAGAGAGATATTTACTATCACAATTTGATAATGATTTATTGGGTCAGGTCTCAGCTCACACGTACCTTAGAGAGTAAATGTGGTACCTGATAATATAGAGTACATTTATGTCAAGGAATTATTATATAACATTTAGTAGCACGTAAGATGGCATAGTATAGAATGTTACCACGATGTTTTTGTTTTACATTGTTTGAATTAAGTTATAAATATATACTGTACGTAAAGTATTTGACGGTAATGGGAAAACATTACTCGGGGTCTTGACTTTATTAAATTCACCGTTGATAGTTCTCACCAAGGAATGGAGATGTGAGTAACTGATTGTAGGGTATGTTGTTATTTCCATCTTGGAAGGAAACTTTATTGACTACGATACTGCGACCTATGTCTATGGTGCAAATAGCCAAGAGCAGTTGATCTGGATAATCCCCTCGTTTGGTTGTGACGGTGTTTACCGGAGAAGAAGTTCGGGGTCCCGGAAAGCAAGAATGTGGCCGTTTTGAGCTCATATATTTTGGCTATATTTCATGAAATGGACTTTGTTGGAGTTTGTTTGAATAATGTTGAAGATGACACCAGAGTTTTTTTTAATGTATCCTTGTACTTTGACGCCAAGGTGAAGAATAAAATGTTGAAAATTTGAAGTTATTCGAATGAGGTGGTTCGGTGAGCAGAGAGCAAATAATTTGACGGTTCGGCGGGAAGGTTGGGGTATTTAAAGGTCGAACCGGCAAGGATGCATCAGTTACAATCCGATCCTTGTGTCTGGTGTTAGAACTCCTTTAGTTTGTGAAGAAGAAAAGAAAAGAAAAGAAAAGTAAAGTAAAGTGTAGTATATAAAGTAGTGTTTAGACATTTGTTTGTTTGGCTGTTAGTGTTCCGCATTGGAAATGTTTTCTTAAACATTTTCTGTGGTTTTTAATAGAAGTATTTGACTTGTGGCCTGTGAAACGTATTTAAGATTTCTGTCTGTGGTTAACTAGGGAGATTTTGAAGTTGTTCTTAATTCAAGTTGTTAGAGTACAGGATATTTAAATTGAAGACGGTAGTTTAATCGAAATGAAATCCTTTAAGTGTTAAACGTGTTAAGTGGTTTAAAAAGTTGAAGTGTTAATAGTGTACTTTGTGAAATTGGCGGAATATGTTGTGTTTTTGCAAGAAATCGTGTCATTTCGTTGGTGAGTGATGGAAAGTGAATTCATGAGCATGTAGATTGTGTAGCAAGTTCATTATTAAAATATTGTCTATCTGAAGTTCAATGTAGTTTTAAGTGATGGTGGTGGAATCTTGAAAATGAGTGAGAAGAAAAGAAAGCTGCAGCATTTATGTGTGCCTTGAGCTTGGACTGTTCATAGTGATCGTGGTGGATTTTGAAAATGAGTGAGAAAGAAAAAAGATGCAGCATTTGTGTGCCAAGTAGTAAACCATACGTGTGTGTTTTGATGCGTATAGTAGGAGATTGGAGGTGTTGTGCATATAGTGAAGTGGAAAAGCAAATAAATGTGCCGACAGCGACGTTTTGGTAAACGAGGGGTGAGGGCAGGTAAGTGACTATTGATGTTTAGTTTGTTTAGCGAGGTAAAGATAGGGATTTGACATGAATAAGAATATTGATATGGGTGAGCCAATTGGTAGCCTGCTTTGAGTGTATGAAAAATAAGCGGCATAAAGCACGAGACCCAGGGTCGGGTCGATGCATCTTTAGCTGACTACATTCCAAAGGTTCGACTTTACTTTTATCCTCTTCGCCACTGATCGGCTTGTTAGCCGCTTGGTCACGTCTCTTTTCCTTTATATTCTTCACGAAAAGGTCGGCTCGCTAGCCGCCTGAGAGATTGGAGCGCCTGAAGTTGCCTAGCTTATACTACAGACGGGCAAGGGGGGACCTAGTTGAGCTTTATAAGCATCTGAGGGGGCACTACTCAGTTAAGTGTCCTTGCTTGGAGCTGGCGGACGCTCGCCCCACAAGGGGTCACAGCTCAAGATTGAAGAAGCCGGAAAATCGTGAGGGCAAAGTTTTTCGGAGTGAGGGTTGTAAATTGTTGGAACAATCTACCAGAGTGTTGTGACGGCATCGAGTGTGAGCTCTTTGAAGAGAAGACTTGACCAACACTGGAGCGGGTTCAGGTACATTGAGGAGCCGGTGCATGCCCAGTATTTGACAACAGTGCGTGACCGATTGCCCGGGCAGCTAGCGAGCTGACCTTTTGGTGAAGAATATAAAGGAAAAGAGACGTGACCGATCAGTGGCGAAGAGGATAAAAGTAAAGTCGAACGTTTTGAATGTAGTCGGCTAAAGATGCATCTAACTGACCCTGGGTCTCGTGCTCGCAATTTTACTTGTGAATACTTAGGCTGTATGTAAAGGTGATTGTGATTGGTGGATGTGTTTTGGGTTGTATGACTTTTAGGAAAATGATTAAAGGAAAGGTAGAATTTTTTGGTAATAAAATAATCCTTGTTATTTAAAGTCATGGGAAGTTAAGATATGTTGGTATATTTGGTTAAATAGTGAAGAAAATTGTATTAATGAGAGTTTTGTAGTGGGTGTTTTTTTTAAGATTTTGTAGTAGTTTATTTTCAGAAAATAGCAACCGCAAGGAAGTCGCAGTGGGCTGCCGCATGAGCGTTAAGTTGGAGCCAACTAGCGTGGGAAAGGTTGATTTTTGCAGAGACGTGACCGGCACAGAGGTAGACCCCGAATTTGGAGTTTAGGTGAATGAAATTGTTGAATGGGTGTTGTGTTTGTGCTGTTATATACTGGAGGCTATATAATGGTACTACACTCTCGGTTGTGTGTGTTTATGGTCGTATTTTGTTGTCGTCTGTTATGGTTCATGTGTTAGTTTTATACGCAGACTAGAGTGTTGTTAATTGTTATTGTGTATGTGCTTTTGTTTCATTAATTTTGACTAGTTTGTTGTAAATTTTGAAGGTTGATGCCTTTTATTGCAGGTGTACGGAAGGCTTATACTGTGGAATAGAGAAGAGAACGTGGTCTAAGTTTGTAGGTGATGGCTAGCGCGTCTACACTTGCGGTGAGGAATTCGTCAATATGGTATTTAAAATGGAAGGTGTAGTTGTGTTTGACTAAAGAGAAGTTGTAGCTGTAATATGAAAATTGAGAAGTGGTTCATGGTTAATATATTTGTATTGAGAATGAGTGTAAGTTTTATTGGTTAGGTAATAAATGCTTTTTTCAGGTTGTTGTTGTTGGAGGTGGAAGGAGCCGGTATTTTTTTGAGGTAGACTAGGGGAATAGTGAGGGTAAGTGACGTTGAAGTTTGTAAAAGAGTTGTTAAATTTTCAATTGATTTTTGGTCTTGTGCCGTAGAGCAATAGAAATGTTAAAAGTTGACATTAAAATAAATGATTGTGGCTTGAGTTTGGTAATGTTAAGTTTAAAATGTTGAATTTTGTGCCTCGGCTGTAGATTAAAGAAAATGTAAGTGAGTTTTGATAAGTTGAGTTTATTATATAGTAGTGAGAAAGATTTGATAAATGGATAACGAATGACCTTTTTTTTTCAGGTTGGGGTCTGGTGGTGGTCCTCGGTTCTCTAGTGCACCCAAAAGTGCCTAGAGATGGGCACGGGGAGACATAAGTGAGGTGTATAAACCTGTGAAAGGGCACTACTTAGTCGAGGAACCGTACCCACAGCTGACTGACGCCCGCCTCACAAGGGGTCACAGCCGAAGTGGGGGTGCCGGCGGTAGAGCGGTACCGCTCTCGCCTCGCAAGCGGGACGTCTCGGGTTCGATTCCCGGGCCGGTGGAAAGTGGGTTGGACACACTTCCTAGACCCCCTGTGTCCCTGTTGACCTAGCAGTAAAGTAGGTACCAGTTGTAAATCGAAAGTTGCGAATTCGTATCTGGGTAAAAGTCGTCGGAGCTAGCCGACAAAATGTTAAAGACTGGAGGGTTGTATGCCCTTGACATAAAATGCTATGATCCTTTAGGCAAGCACAAAGTTGGCATGCTGCCTAGTTGGGCGGTGTAGGCGCTTGTGCCCTTCACCTTGCATGGGAATAAGGGGAGGGGGGATGCCCCTCGGCCCCTCCCATTCTCAAAAAGTGTGATAATGAGAAATCGAAAAATGTTAGAGTAGAATATAGTGTTGTGTTGACTGTATCGACTAACCAAGAGGAAGTATGGTCGCCATCCAGAGGTGGGGGAGAAGTCGATGTTGGAAAGGAGCCAAGTGTTGTAACCAGTCGCCGTGTGCAGCATGTGCTAAAAGGTAATGTATACTGTTAAGTGGTTGAAGGTGGGGTGTGTTTGATATGAAAATGAAGAGGGACTTTGGTCGTGGTTATTGATGTGGTAATTGTTTTGTACAGGAGTTGTTGCAGTCCAGAAGACGTGATTGGTGTGTGATAATCCAGAGGGACATTAACGCTCGACTGAATGTTGGAAATGAGAGGCAGTAAAGGTGTAAGTATTGTTATTGAAGTTGTACGTATACTTTGTTATAATTTGAAGAGTAGAGCATTTGTAACATTGACGTATTGTTTTTTGTTTTCATGTTGGTGGTGGAGGAGCGCGTCGACACTGGATACGGTGATGTGAAATTGTGCAATGTATTATTTGAAGGTGAGTTGTTATTGTATTTGAAAGTTGTAGGTAAAGTTTGTTATAAGAGGCAAGTGATATAGGAGTTTTTTCGGGTAGCAGTACCCAGTGATGTTTAAAGTTGGGAGAAATAAGCATGGTGCATTATGGAGGTTGTGTGAAAGGTTTCTGTTTTTCAGGTTTGAGGATGGAGTGGTGGTGGGTAGTGCCGTAACCAGGTTGGAGAAAGGGTGGACTACTACATGTATGGGGCTGTGCAATGGACTGTGTTGAGGAGAAGAAGCAGCAGCAGCAGGGGCGGCGGCGGTAGCAGCAGTGGCGGCAGTTGTTTAAGATAAGTAGTGTGGTGTGGTGCATCGTGAATTGTTTGTGATAGTTTAGGGTCATAGTGAATTTAGTTGTAAGAAATTGAGTATAATGTAATTGTTGGAAGACGTGTATAGTGATGTAAATTGTAGGTTAGTTTTGGATTAGTATATGTGGAGAATGGATGTAGCAGGTAATAGAAATGTTGGGACTAGTGTAGAGGCATATATATATATAATTGGTGAGTGGCGTTGGAGCGGTTTAGGGCGTGAAAGGTTTATGAATTGTTGTGGGGGAACTAATGTGTTGATGTGTTTGTTTTTTTAGGCCGGATTGGAGTGGTAAGCGGCAGTGATGGTGGAAGAGCCAGTGGTTATTCGGCGACGGAGATGGGAGCGAAAGGGTAAGGAGCCGATTGTTTGTGTTAAAGAGGAAGCGTTTGTTTGAATTTGGTTAAGATGAAAGGTGAATTTGTTGTGGGTATGTATTGTAATTGTATAGAAGTTAGTTGGTAGCAGGCTAGTATTGTTGTTACACA